ATGACCTCAGTATTTCTGAATAAGATTTCAGTGTGGAGGGAAAGTATTTTACATTAACATGCTTCCTTGTATTTTGAAGCTACCTGATCATTACTCTCTAAAAATAATGAAATAATTAGTGAAAAAGTAGACATCAGGGGGAAAATCTTCTTGACAAAAATCTGAAGTAGTTCAGTTATGCAGTACATTTAAAGGGATGACTGGATATAAAATTTGGCACCCTAGATTTGAACATCATCCTCCTCTTTGTATATCATGGCCTGACATTGGAATTAACAGGTAGCAAGGACATGTTTTAGCTATTTACATGTACTTTTTAAACAACTGCATAAACATTTCTCCCACCAAAACCCAACACATTTAGGGGAAAAACAAACAAACGATAACACACAGTAATGCAATGGGTTTTGCTTATTATTAGTGACAGTGCTTTAATTTAGCTGTATGGAGCCCAGACACTGGAAGTGGTCTGATTTGGAGAGATGCTCCTGACTTCTAAGAGCTCTGCAGCAGGAGTGGTTCCGCATGTTAGAGTCTCCCCATGCCCAAGCCACTGTTCTTCTTTCAGATAGATGAAACCGAAATGTTTTCAATTTTTCCAGCATCCAAAAAGACAGAATTCTATTCTTATTTGGACTGGAAACTTCTAAAGTGTTGCAGCTTTCTGTTGGGGGTCTGTGTTGTGTGTGAGGCCCTGAATGTATCATGTTACTCAACGAAGGTCCCCCTCTGCTGCCAAAAGAAAGGCTAAAAAAATGTATTATTCTTTTTCTTTTTCCTTAGCAGTCCATATAAGAGAAGACAGCTTCCTCATGTTTATAAAATATTGACCAAGAATTCTTCATTAATTAACAAACCCATGCTTAGCCTTGAAAAATTCAGTGGAACTGTAGCAAGGAGAATTTTCCAGCCTGCATTATAAATTTTCTTGTGCATTGTAGTTAATAGCATAAGTTTTTAATGGTCTCAATAAGACAATGGTTTTAATTTGGTGAAATTACTTTCATAAATTTGCATAATATGACAATGCAAACACATTGCAGTATAATTTTATTACAAATTAACTGGAAACACATCTGCTCAGCTTGACTTAAATGACTCACATGAAGATCACATCCAGCCTACATACAAAGGTCTGTCTGTGCTGAATGATTTCAGGTATTAGAATAGTGTTATAAAAACAACCTTAAAAGCTCTGCTGTGCAGGGTTACATTAACACCACAGACCCATTATTTGTTATTCCTTCCATAGGTACTGAAGATTCAAGAAGGCTGGCACATGTCAATCACATGTCCTTGACTTGAGATCTCTGTGCATTTTCTTCTAGGTTTCTCAGTAAAGGATAGCTTTCTGTTTTAATCTAATTTGGTGACTTACCAAACAAATGAGGACCTTCAGCAAGAGAAAATCCATCAGCAGTGGCTAGCTGGTGATGTCCTATTAAATTCATTTCAGACCCCATTTGTTCTTCAGTTCAGGAGGAATTTTTTAACCAAGAAATAGGTTGAAAGGAGACCCTGAAAGATGTAAAGCAAAAAGAATATTTAAAACGAGATAACTCATTTTTTGTGTACCTATTGTAAGGCACAATTCAGGAGGTTGTTTCAATATTTACTGTAACAAACATTGGCTCGATGTTACAATATCTAATTCAGCCTTTAAATAAAATGCTGCATCTGGTTTGTTTGTTTTTTTCCTTGCTGTGGTATATTTTATTTGCCATCTTTCTGCTGTTCATTTAAAACTAATGACAGTTTATGCTCAGCCTTCATAGACTGAAGCACTGGCCTGACCTGCTGAGGGCATGCTGTCCAGCCCCCACTTCCAGGGAATACCCATTGCCTGCATTATTTTTTCATCACCCTTTCATCATTTCCTTGTTTTGACTTACTGAAAAAGTGCAAGTTTATGGTTAGGACAGAAGAGTCCAAGCCAGGAAAGCTGAGTTTAATTTCCAGTGACTGGCTTTTTACCTTGCCTTCAGTAATTACTGTCTGAACAAGCAAAAATGATGGCAAAAACAGAAAGCAAAGCCTTGGTCTAAGCTCTCCCACCTGCTCCCTTTGTGGTCTCAAGCAGCCATACAACTCTCTCTTGGGACAGCTGGGAGATGCTTGTGCCTGCTCACTAGCATACTATCCTAGCGGGTCAGATAGAGCAGCTTTCATCTCCAGAGGTTGTCAGTGGCACTGTACCCAGGTCTTCTCCTTCCCGCTCCCCCCACTAGGCTATTTAATAAGAGGCAAGAGACCTGCCATTGCCTCCTACTCGAGCAGAGCCTATAGCTAGAGCAGCACCTCATCCAGGAGGAAGGCATGCAAGAGGCTCCCCTGCCCAGGGCTGGCTCATGTGGGTGGGATGGGGCACCTCAAGGGTGCCATTTGGGCAGGACCATCAGCAACAGGAGAACATACAGCTCCAACAAGGAGATGTCTCAAGGGTTTATGCAGACACCAAGAGGATTCTGCATAAAGTTGACAGAAATCTGTTTTGCTTTGTTTTATAATCTTAATTCCTTATTCGGTGTTATTCCTATGGGACTGTCCCTGGGACTACTTTTCCTCTCACCAAAGGTGTTTGAGAGTTATAGTCCAGTCTACTTCCCAGTGAGGGCTCAGCATGTTTCTTAAACAGAAGTGAAGTCATCTGACAACAACGTGAATGCAGCAGGAGCCCCCAGTGCTGAGCAGACTGGGAAGTAGCTTGTGAGAGCAGGAAGCACACTGTGTAATTATACTCAGATTTGTCCATAAGGATTCATTAAGTTCTTCCTTAACATAAACAAAGGCTCTCTAATTAGACAGATGCATTTTAAATGTCTGCCGATGGATAATTTAAACAGTTTACTCAGAAATGTCAAAAGCTACTTGTATCACAGACCAGATAGCCTTCTTGCTGCAAACAACATGTAAACACACAGTCCCAAGTTTAGCACAGAAACACAGTTTTGCAACAGCAAAAAACTCCATGTGTCTTGGGATGGGGGTTGGCAAACAGCCCAGCCACCCCAGTAGGCCCACGTCTACTTCCAGCTATTTTACTGCCTCACCACCACATTTGCCGGGGAAGGTATCTGCTGCCCAAGAGGTGGGGCTGTCCACATGGCTGCAAAAGGCTGTCAGGAATTGCAACACAGTTTTCTCATGAACTGCCCATGACAGACCCTTGGTAGGGGGTTCCTCTTACAGCCTGATACAAGGGTTCTGCCATGGGAGAAGACCGCAGCACAGTTAGGGCCCTTATAATGGTCAGTAAGAGAAACATCAAAATGAGGCATCTTCAGATGGCTCCTGAATGTTTCTCTGGATTTTCTTGCTGAAGACTAGAGGAGAGAGGCCATCTCCACCCTATCCTCATGTGCAAGCCCTTCAATAGCTTTCTTACAGCCCACAGGCATGCAACCCTTGCAGGATTAACTCTCCCTGCAGCCAGTCTTGAAGATTACGTTCCATCACTACTGGTATTTCTCATGTTTCCTTCTCAGATCCTATATGAGGAGCTAAAACTGCAAGTGCTAACATGTCAGCTTTGGGATTGTGAATTTCTGTATGTACATACAGAGCCTAGAACTTATCTTCTTAGGGAATTTTGGATGTTATATCATGATATTTTAAACACAATCCCAAGACAACATCCATTCCAAAGTATTTTGTCAGACTGTCAGTATACAGTCAGACTTGCAATGTGCAGCTTCAATAACTTCTAACGTATATATCCTGCATCTGTCTAGTCTGTGCTGCAAATAAGGAGAAAGCAAGCAAGCTATATTTTTAAACCCTAATATAGTGTTTGTGTTTTTACAATCTCTTTGAAATGTCTATAAACTTATTTCTTGTTCCTTTAAGGCTATTCCATTTTTTAACATGTCATTAGAAAACATCACTCTAACCTGAAGATAGACTTAGAATCTATTATTCTTTACATACACACAAAAAAAAAACTGGTGCCATTGATACTGTTTTGTTTATAGTAAGAAACTTGAGGATGTATTTGTCACAACCTCTCAGTATGCTAGGATGTTACAGATTTTGTAACTCTACCCCTCCTGCCACATTAATTTTGATCAGGATGGATTCAGTTCGAATCAAATGTTCATGATGATTATACAGTTCCCTCCTTTTTTTTTTTTAATACTTCATTTTCTTTAATATATCCAGCTGATGTAGACCATTTACTGGATTTCATAGAAGAAATTAATCCTATCTTCTAGGGATTTCTGCAAGGCACAAGACATGATCACCATTAAAAAGTCTGGAAATATATTTTCCATTACATGTAGCATTGTTACTGTAAATTTGCCTGAACGCCAAACTCTTCATTAAATACTGATTGACATTTTTCTTTGATTTGCCCCTGAATCCAGCCTGCTGTGAGCCACCTAGCCTATCTTAGATTTATCCAATTAATTTCATCAGTATTTAAAAGCAGCAGCTACTGATTTCCAGCTTTCAGACCTACACCAGGTACACAATATAGAGCATTTAAGCACCACTTATTCCACACATTGTTCAGTTCTGGGAAATAGTATAGGTCACCATAAGTTGGTGTCGCAAGGCATCACACACCCAGGGGTGGACTCCACTTTCAAAGAGCTGGTTCCACAACACACACCCTGTCATTAGCCTCTTCTCAGCCTAATCCTCCTAGGCTGTTGCTGAGTTAAACAACTGTGGTCCCCTCTGGCTGCAACTCCCATGGAGCAACTCCAGAAGCATTGCTCTGGCCAGTGGGATGGTCCCACCCAGCAGACATACAGAGGCACCCAAATTGCTAGCAACATAGCCAGATGACAAAGGGTGCCATCTGCAGCACCTATGCACAGAACCTTTTGGCAGAAGCATTCTTTCCAAAGATAGAGGCTGGTGACATAAAGCTATGTCATCTCAGCTTCCAGAATCAGTTTATCTGCATGAACTGGGATCAGTAACCACTCTCTTAATTCAGATTTCTTTATCCACCAAAACCACATAATAATGGAATGCTTCTTGATATTCGCAGGCAGACTAAACATTCATAGGTATTTCTACCTCATGCTTCCTTCCTTACATAAAGTGCATCTTTTAGCTACTTCTATCAAGATGAATCTGGAATATCTTAGCCAAGTTGACTGATCTTGAGGTGTAACAACAGAATGCATCAGATCAGATAAAAGCTGAAATAAAGGCAATAGGTGCACAGGAAATCAATATTGTTCTCCAAAATAAGAGCCCCTCAAGAGAAGCTAAAAGGTATGGAAAAAGTTAAAAAGGTGGTTGCTTTTTTTTTTTTTTCAAAGAAGTATTTTAATTAACTTTTTAAAAAACTACTTACTGCACCAGCTTTTAGATTATTTTCATAGGTCAAAATTATACAGCAAAGAAAAACAGAGATCTGTATGTATAAAATAAAATCTATGCCCAATTGCTTGAGGTTATTTTCATCAATTGCATATTAAAAGCTCTGAATTACATACAATTTTGTTACATGCATGCTTTATCATACTTCAGAACAGTCAATCAATGTATGTTTATGTATTCTACGTTTAACTGAGAAAATTGAGATACATATTATATGTGACTTGTTCTTTCAAACATGTGCATGCATGTTTATTCAGCTTTCTTATGGTATATTAGTTCATGGGTGTATACAAATACATATGTCTATGCATATGCACATGTGTCTGGGTGTAGGTTTCAGATTTATTGTGGACTTTTAGCAGTGGACTACCTCTGACTCTACTATGGTCAAAAGTAAAGTTTCCCCTGGCTTCTGTGTAAGCAAAACCAAACCTCTTAAATAATTAAAGTTAAAATCCACTGGGCTCACTGCAGGACAAAAGCATCATAGCCTCATACTTTCAGGTAAAGTAAAAATATGTTTGATCATCAGGAAATCTCCATGATAGTCTAATTGCATTTTACCTTCAGAAGAAGAATGATTGAATCTATTGCAATTACTCAGTAAAGGAAAATATATCAAAGCACTGGCAAAATTTTTCTCAAATATTAGTGAGGTACATTTCCCTCCTCCCATCCTTTAATATTGTCCTATTCTTTACACATCCAGCTGCCAATTGCTCAAAGAGAAATTTCAGTAACATCATTAATCTATGGCCTGATCCAAACACTGTTAACATCAAGGGGAAGATTCCCATCTAGTCCACAGGCTTTTGATCTGGCCTCATAGCCTTTTTGTAGAATATTTAATGCAGTGCCTCACTTATTTGAGAGGCCTTTTTATTTGCTTGCTTGTTTGTTTTAAAGTGTATCAAAGAGACATGAAAACATTAGGAAGACAGAGGCAGGACTGGTGTTACTGTCTTTGTTTTAAATTTACTGGTTAGATTTTTTTTAATGAGACATTTAAAATCAGAGGAGCAAAGAGACACAGGACACAGAAAAAATACAAGATATTCTTACAGCTTATTCTGAAGGGAAAATATATACCTTTAAGTCAGTCACAAGTAGAACTGAAAACTCTGTCAAAAGTCTCAATGGCGTTTCTGTAGGTAGGCAAGTAAATTCAAAGATCGGGGCCAACTTCTGCCCTGGTGTTGCCTGCGGAACACCATTTCTCTGTGCCTTCCTTTCTCCAGCATCTTTTTTCTGTCTCACCTGGTAAAACTGCAAGCCCTCCTTTCTTAACCTGTTTTTGGACTCCCATCTAGCCTAGTGGGATCCCAATCTAGTTTGGCATCTGTAGGTTTTCTGTAACACAAGCATTAGCAATAAAAATAACAAAAGCTAAATGTGTCCCACCACAATTATAGTTTTCTGAAGATAAATGGCTAACACTCAGAATAAACTGACATTTTCTTAAAAACTGGTAATGTATTCAAACAGTAATTGCTTGAAATGTGAAACCCCCTTTTGCTTGTGCTAGTTATGTGAAACAAGTGCTAAAGTCCTGGACTTCGGAAGATGCACCTGGAATCTGTACACAAAACCACCAAACAAAGAAATTACATAAAACAAATATAACTGTTCCATTCTGGATTGTCCTTGTTCTCCCATTAATCACATTTAAAACATTTTCTGTTCCTAAAAGGATAAAAAAATTAACAAACCAGTACAATTTTAAAGCTGATGTACATAATTAACTAGATAGTGTTACTGCAGGAAAAACTCAGTATCAAAGTTATGCTTCCTTTTCCAGTGACACACAGACACAGAAGCCAGCTTTCTAAAGACAAATTCCAACACTGTCATTATTTTTCATGACCTTAACATTTTTTCCCAAGGGGAATGCCTGCTGTTGCACCGATTTTATAGGTGAAATTCCTTCTCCTTATATTATTCTTCAATAAAACACTAGCTTAAAAAATCCTTTTTTTTTCTGGTCAAAAATCCAGTAACATCCACTAAATAATTCAGGTGAGAAAATTGCTTTTATACTACACAACAGCAAGAGCTATCAGTTTAAGGAATTATTACTTACTGTTCTTTTCTGGAAGGCTGCGGATGGCAGGATGTAAGACAGTTCTGCGTGCAGTTCAGTATCCTAACGATTCTCACACAGGAACATTTTTGTTTTGTTTTGGTTTTTAGGTTTAGCAGAAGCCTGTAGTGATAACACAATGAATCAAAGCTTGGGCTCATTGGCTCAGTGCCCTAATGGACAAGGATTACTCATTAACAATTCTTTCTTTGCGAAACTCTCCAAACACAGTCTGTATTAAAACATTGTGAATCCCAGCTTGCCCATCAGCACAGAGACTTGAGATGCTCATTAATACTCTGGCTGGGTGCAGGGGGGAAGTAGGCTCAAAAAGTGGGGTGATAGTACCTTGTTGCTGATTATAACACTTTTCTTGCACATATACATTTTTATGACACTCAGCCTCCTTGTCTTTCCCACCCAAGGAGCCCAGATGTCATTTCAAGAGATACATGTGACTTCTAAGTATTTCTGTTATTCTTTACACTTTTTAGGGGAACTGAGCATTACACTGAGTACTGAAGAAGCAGAACGGGCTATAAACAGGGATTCGGGGACATTAAAGTTTGGTTCCTGGAACTGCCACGCTCTCTGACAAACTGCATCATTTTGATTTGGGCTCATCCCATAAAGCTTTAGGCATGAAACTGAGGCCCTTAACTTTAAACCTAGTAGACTCATCCACCTTTTGTGCACAAGAGGAAGAAACTGGTACCTGTAGATGGTGAATCACATCCTGGGTGGGCTGCACTGCATCCAAAAATGCTGATCTCTTGCCACTGGCAGAAAGGGGACCTTCAACAACTGCATCCCCACTTACCCAGTAGAGGAATTTAAAGTAAAGTGGAACAAATCCAGGCTGTTTTTTTCAACATCCCACCTACACAGCAGGGGTAATAATTCCCTGGTTTGTATTGCTAAACATATCCAGTGGGGATGAGTTGATCTGGCAGTGGTATTGAGGCAAATTTCAGCCAGAGGGGACAGCTGGCAGCATCACTCACAGTAAACGAGTTCATGTCTGCCATATGGTATATGCTCTCCATCCTTCTCTACATATTTGTACTGTCTGATCAAGAGTGAATACAGAGACACAAGCTGTACCTCCTACTCTAGAAGAGAGGCATTGGGCAACACAGTCCTCTGTAGGAGAAAGGTAACAGCTGCTGGCCCTGAAGTTACCAAGAGTAAAATTCCCTCACTTTCCCCCCAGTTAAGGAGAAAAAAAATTTAAAAAGCTATATTCATCCTCAAGCTTATATCAAGGAAATTGAAACTCTCTATCCTTATCTTTAAAATATAATTAATAAAGGGTCTTTCTAATGTGTTCAGTCCCTTGCAAATTCACCTGGTAGCCAGCCAAATACACGTGGTATGACAGGTTATTGAAGAGATCAACAGGAGAATGATGCCATAAGGCTGTCACTGGACACTAGCACTTCCAAGGGGGTACTGTTTTCAGGGATTTATGCCTACAGTTCATTCCAGCAGGCACTGGCCATATGGTACATACATTTAAGACGAAGGTTCTCTCAGTCCTTATTAGACTCTCTGAAAGCCATCACTACTGTAAACGATGAGATTTGTGTTTTACAAATTCATGTTTGGCAAAATTGACGAAGTACTTTCAAATAAGAGAATTCTTCCAAAACAACCCTACCCACAGGAGACAGGCAATCTCCACAACTCCAAACATGCCAACATCCCATCTGACGCTTTCCAGTAAATGTCCACTCCAGTGGTGCCTAGGAAACACATGCCAAAAAAACTCCTCTGTCTTTGATCATCCCGAGGCCAGTGATGGGATTTGTCCCTTACCAGGTGAAGAAGCAGAGGCTAAGCCAAGAAGTCCAACAAGTGTCATATTATGTCTCATGGAGCTTTCCATCTCTTGGCTAGTTCCGAAGACCTTAAATCTTGTTTTCAGCTTTCAGCCTCCTGCAGCATTGGTCCTAGACAGTTGGTGGCACAGAGCAATTGCTATTTAGAAATCCCTAGAGACCAATCTTCAATAAAGGTTCTTCCTCAAAAAGCATTTTCTGCTGTGTGGATGCTGTTTGTCAGACAGCAAAGAGCTCACCACAAAGGAAACCAAATTTAGTACCCCAATTCACTAACAAATATGTTGCATTAAAACATTTTTCCTTTCCTTACAATAATAAACAGGCAAGTGGCAAAGTGGTGCTTTGTCCACTAATCAATACTTTCAAGACATTATTGGAAAAAGCAAAGAAAGAATTCACATGATCAAAAGAGGAGATGTTGCCTGTAGCAACGACATGTGGCATTACTAGTTCAAGCCAGATGTTCGTATTTTATTGTGGCTGAAGTGCAAATGAAAATTGAACAGAAAGGAATTAGAGCAAATGAAAAATACCTTCTGTAGTGTTACGAGAGAGTACCTACACAGCATCAAGGGAGAGAAGAGGAAGGGGAAAGATTCAAATCCAGTTACTTATAAATAGAATAGCTTTTTTAAAGATAGCATTACATGCTATAATTTTTAAAATTTCAGAAAATTAATTGACATCCTGAAACTTCTCTAGACAATACTAACATTACTTCTGTAACTGACAAATAACACATATTCTAAAATACATCCATGCCATTATCAGTGCAAATACATGTTTAGCTACAAAAATAGGAACATATATAACATTCAGGGCTAGAGATCTGTCTGCCTAGAAAATACCACTTCATAAACTCCACACTCCGTGAAAGAATTGGAGATTTTGTTGTAGCTCCTGTTTGCTCCTCCTCCTGCTACTCTGCCTTTTCTCCACTGAAATAATTGCCATCCCACACTTGCACTGACAAGGTAGCTCCATGGCCTCAGCCATGGAAAGGAAAGGCAAATCCTGGCAACAAAGTAGTTTGTCATCAAAAGTGTGGATGGAAAAAATCTAGCACAGAAGGAGATAGGGGGAAAGGAAGAAGAGGTAGGTTGGGCATTCATCTTCAACATTTCCTTCTCTTCATACCTCTATGAATGCATCACCACACATTAAAAAATATGAAAATAATACACTCACAAATGACCAGTACCTTCTCCTTTTTGCATAGAAAATCTTTTCAACAGCTGTACAACTTTCTGCCTACTCACAGCCAGTTGCTTGGAGCTCCAGCAGCATTGTACAGATGACAACCAGTCACAACTAGCGAGAGACTTTGGCTCTGTGTTTGTTTGATAGACCAAGGGACATGTGTCTTTTCTTTCCCTCATACTGACAGCTCCCAGCATAAATAGTACTGCAGACACCTGAGAGCTCTTCTGAACCAAATTGTGCCTCAGCACAAACCATCAGTTACAGCTCAGAAAGCATTGCCGACTTGATTATAAACAGTTGCCACTAAACAGCAGAGTTACCTGCAGCTTTTCTTTCATCCCTGCAGCACCCCTTATTTATTATTGCTACACAGAGGACACACATCATCTACACCACTTTGGGTCATGGTCTGTCCCCTCAGACTGGCCATTCCTTACTCTTAGGCATTCTCAGAAATATCACTGTTCACCACTCTAATGAATAAAGGAAGCTTTTCATTTCTTGAAGGATGGCCAAATTATCACCATCTTACAATAAATTTTATCATATGAAGATAATTAAGTAATCTTAATAGATAAGGCTGCTTCTGTACAGGCTAAAAAAATAGGAAAGGAATGGGGTGCAAAGTTTCAGTGAGTTAACTCTAATAGCTGTTCATCTTTTTTTTTCCTTCCTGCATTTCAAAAGTGGAGGAATAACTCCACTTTTAAGATTAGTGTAGCTTATTCAATAAGTCCTTCGTTAATCAGAGCTTCTTCATTATAAGTTGCTTTCTGAAAATTCAGTTTCCAAACAGGGCAAAATTTGTTAAACAATCCTATGTTGTGCCCTGATGAAATCCAATATTCTGTCTTTATCACTCACATATTTGAAGTGGAGTGTCATGAAGGGTAAAATAACCCTGGAACAATCTGTTCTAAGAGTGGGAATTCCTCCCTGATGGCAGGCAGTTAATAGTTAACCAACATGCTCTAGCAAGGGCATATATGTTATTAACAAGATACCATCTTACAGCTGCCTGGGTGCAAGAGGAGAGCTGAGCATATGTGGAATCAGCTACAGTATCAGATACTAAACTTCAGTATGGGGAACTTGGTTTACCTCCCTCTAGCTGACTTCAACTGAAATTCAGAATGTGTTTTTCTATAAATAAGTTCTGGTTATTCCACATTAGATTCTCTCTCATTATTTTAAATTTTAATTAAGGTACTGGTATGACATGCTCTTTGTTTTCCCCCACTCCTGCTAGGGGTTACATGTTTAAAAGTTCCTAGAGGAATCACAGCTTTATGTTAAATATGTTAGTACAGTATCAGCTGATAAGTTGTCCTAGAGGCCTCGGAGTAAATATATACTTTATTCTTTCAATTTTGTCCTCTTGAAATTTTGATGTTATACAGTATGATAGTGATTGAGTTCAATAGGGGTTAGCCTTCATTAATGTAAATATTTGGAGAAAGAAAAATATTATGACATGTTGATCTATTCCAGTAAACAAGTGCACTGTCCTTTCATTAATAAGTAGTTATTTTAAACTAAATGTCAAAGGTGATGAGTGAAGTATTAAAAAATAAATATTGAGATATTTTTAGATGGGCTTTTGAATTGCTAAAATAGTCACACTAAGTAAATTCATTCTGCAAAATTTTAAACCTCTGCTTGTTTCTCATACTGTGTTTAGTGTCAAGGAAAAAGAAAGATGTTTAGAAGGACTAGTTCAGTAGCTAACAAGAAACCATTTCTTTCATGATGGGAGAGGAAATGCAGTCCAGACATCATATGAATGGACACTGTAAGCAATTGGAGGTGCAGGAGGAGCCTCTGCTAATGCTATTTGGCAAGCCAGAGTCACTGTTAGCCTTTTAAACCCTCAGTTCTGTACTTCATCATTCTAGAGAAGGCTCTACTGTGCTCTGAAGCATTGCAGGCAAATGACTTCTCTCATTGCTTATTGAGAGGGAGGGCTGCAGAGCAGGCATCAGACCCCAGACAAGTACCCAGAGCAAATCCCTGGAGAAATGGCCCATCCTGGCCC